GTAAAAAAAACAATGTAAGGTACACGATCACGATACTAGGCTCAAACACAACATCCGTACAAACTACTGCAGGTTGTCAAAAACACAGGATGATGTAGTGTACCAATGGCAGCTGCTCTACAACTTCCGTCTACAACAGCCTTCCTAATAGTACAAGATCTTTGCCCATTGGAGTCCAGTTTCAAAAAAATATCTATTAATTTATTGTCAGGTAGAGTTAATGAATAACTGTTACTCTATATAACCTGCAGCGAACTTCGAGGGAATTGACCACGGCTAGCCAGGTGAAACGGGTCTTCCAGTGAAACAGCCATATCATTGTAATTTTAGGCGGCAGGCGTTCAGAAGTAAATGAAAATATAAACGAAAAATAAAATAATAATATAAGTTTTGTGAATCCTCGGGTATTGGTGTGTGTAAACATTTTTGTCTTCGCAAAGAATATACATATGGACAATAAATATTTATAGAGATATTTAATTGCATAAAACAATAAATACATTTGCAATTCGGCTCAAGGTTCATTCTAGGCCAGCCATTAATAGATGGGTTTCGAATTGCGATATAGATAAAAGAAAGATTGGTAATTTAATTAAAACATATGGCTTAAAAAGAAACGTGTGAACGAATTAAGGAATAAATATAGCTTTACCTCGAAAAGATACAACCATGGCAATTCACGTAAATACGCTTAGATAAATAATTTGGACAATTTTAGCTTGACAATTGGAATTTTCTACTTCAGATATCATCCTTCGCAAAATAAGAATCTGTCAGTTCAACTAGAACAGCAAAAGCGAGATTTTCTCAGTTCCAGTTATACCAACACACTCCTAATGTACTAAAGTACAGAAGTAAGGGTACATTCAGCGAAACAACGGGACGTTACAATTACAATGCATGTAAAATTGTACCTTATTTATCCTCTTTAGTTAGTTCCCTTTGGTTTCTAAATTTAACTTGTATTTTGTTTGCAAGATATTTTTTATGATTACTCTGTAAGTGTATACCCACACGAGTAACGGTGTAATAAATATTATTATGGATTGAAAAAGACAAACGGTGATTCTGAATCGGGACTCGTTAATTTGGAAGTTCCAAAACGAATTGTAATTCAACAGTGGTACTGGATTTAATTAAGAGGTATTAGCTACGTACAAACGCGACTACGACAGACCTGTGGCTCCGGGTAAATCTCCCATTAACTCGCTCCCCACCATATTCTTTTTCCAAAAATCACCCCAAAATGAAGGAGATTTTTTTTGTGGAAGTGGTGTTTCCTTAATTACTGGAGACAACGAGAAAACGGACCTGCTGTTGCTAGTTTTCGCAACGGTTGAAAACCGTGTACATTTTTTTACGCAAAATTACGGGCAGTCAGGCCTATTTGTTTTGATGAAGACGCAGTTCGTTAAGTTCACCAAAGTTGTGAGTTGTGAGAAGTTTAACGCGTGTCCGATTATGGGCTTACCGGATGCGTGCATGGTAATATGTCCAAACAAGCTTTCTTTTTTTGAGGGATTTTGTTTTATTTGTTTCATTGTGTTTATTCGAATCCATTTTGCGACCCAGATATAGTTTTGATGTCAGATTTTTTTTCATTCGTGGCATTTTGGGTGTTAATCAAAGGTAGTGTAATAAATTCTTTGTACGAGGAGAGACGATCAAATTCTGAGTTTTAATTTTTATTTGTTTTGAGCTAGCTAGACAGGTGCTTTTTGGGTTGTGTAGTGAGTAGTGACCGCATGTCGTTGCACACAGCACTATATATACTAATGCGGATAATTATACCTATAGACCATAACAGCGATCAATTAGCGAAACCCCGAAGTCTCTAGGTGGCACAGGGGCCGAGATCTCGATGGAACAGACAGACAGACGACGGAAAATCGAGCTCATTAGCGTTACCTCAACTTCGTTATGTACGTTAAAAAATTACACCTCGGTAACCCAATAAAAACGGCGATTGATTCGAAATTTCGAACCCAGTATAATTACTTCATTTAATTAAAAAAAATGATCGTAAAGAAGGCTGAAAGTAAATAGCACTCATTGTACAAAAATTAGATCGTTATTACAAATGTTGCAATTTAAAATTGGCAAATAAAATACCACTCTAAAATGACCACAGCTTAATTAAAATAAGGGCCACTCTGTCGTGCCAAAAATGAATTTCACTTTTCCCTGTTCTCATATTCGCCGCTGATCCCCGGATACAATTAGCTACGATAGATTAGTGCCGTGGGAACGAAATTGAGAGGCAAAAAGCGACATTTAAAAAAAATGAAATTCATTGCCGCACCGTTTTAATGTACACCGATGGGAATAATCGTAGGGTGGCCATAATGGCGGCCGTAACTTTTTATTTTTCAAACTTGAATGGAACAGATGTAAAAGGGAATCGTCAAAGTTCATACTAAATTGTAATATTAATTTAAAACTGCTCCGAATAATTATTTCATTTCGTTCCCTATTGATTTCGAGTAACAGATGGTCTCGGTAACCACCCCTTCAAATTATTCCAAAGTCAATTATCTTATTTCGCTGTAGAACTTGCCTTTCAATTGACGTTTAAATCTGTGGTCCTGGTCCTACCTATACATATTTTATTACCCTTTAAAAAGTGGTTTTGTGATTAAACTTCCATTACGATAACTTGACCACTGTCATCTTACAAGAACAATTTAGAATTCTAGCATTACGTCGTAGTGGAGGTTGTGGTCCAATAGTCATTTACTGATTAGAAAAGTAATAAAACGTTCGTTCTTCATCCAATTTGTTACAATAAGGCCAGCTTCTTTTTGAAAAAGTATTTGACAAGTTTAAATGTTACCTTCATATATGAAATCAGAATTTTCGGACTGTGCATCATATTCGCTTTTGGACACCTTTAATCGAATAGTTCTGGCATTGTGAGTTCGATTGGGAATCGTTTTCTTTCTTGGATTTGGTTTACCACGGCTAACGTGTTAAAAATCTTCACCTCAGGAATATAACAAGGTAAATAAATTAAACAAATATAGCAAACGAGCTCCTGGGTATGGCTATAGCATGTGCAAAACCAAATTTTAAACCTGATGTTAGTTTTGCTTTTATTTAAAGTGTATATGTATGAAATTTCATTTGAATGCCTCCATAAATAAGCTGCGCATGCGCAAAACCAAATTTTGAAACTGGCGTTAAATTTGCTTTTATTCCAAGTGGCTATATATCAAATTTCATTTAAATACCTTCATAAATAAGAAAGTTTGCAATTCGGTCTGTAAATGGTCGAGATGCGCAAAGGGCACTGTGAATGCTGATCGATTAGGTTCAACTTTTGGAATTGTGTTTTATATGGCTAAAGCTATGTGCATATTGAATTTCATGCAATTCGGTTCATAACTAACGGAGATGTCAAAAGGGCCTACTTTATTTTTTGGGCTACATTGCCAATTCACGAACTTCGATCTACAAATTTGATAAAGAATCCACCTGCAAAATTTCATCGTAATCGGTCCATTCGTTTATGAGTTATCGTGCTAACGGACGGACGGACGGACAGACACAACAAAATTATAAACTCGCTAGGAGCTCGTTAATAATACAAAAGTATGCATTGCTGTGTCCCTTCATTCGGTCGCATAAAAAAATAAATGGTTCTATGACAATTGACAACGTTGCAATGGCAGTTCGGATACAAACTTTAAAATTGACAAAACACCTCCTCTTCTATAGCTTGTAAAGTCGCCGAATGTGGAATACCATTTTATTTTAATTAGGCAAAAAATAGGAAATGGAAGATTTTTTTCTTTAGATTTTGGGGAGGGATAGTATAATGTGTTACTAACACAGGAAAAAAAATTACAGAAACTTTAAACATTGGAAAGAAGTTTTAAATTAGGTAAATATTGAAAAAGTCACTTTTGAGGATGTTTGAAATTGGGGCTGTAATGTGGAATACTAATATACCCTAATATGGAATAGGGATTTTTTCTACATCTATATATTATCTTCTGTCCACTTATGCTCCTTTACATTTTTCTTACCCATGTCTGTGTAATAAAAAACGTAAATAAGTACAGGAGTTATACTAGACATCGTAATCGGAAATAGGAGTGCAATGTGGAACATTCCACATTTAAATCTCTACCAGTATTCCACAATTCCGGCAAATTAATATTTGTTTACAAAGTGTTGTTACAAAATAAAAACATATGTTTCGTTCAAAATACACCACATTCTAGACGCATACAGCTCTTTTCTTACTACTCGCATGAAAAATTACCTTTGATACTCGAAAAAACAGCCAGTACAAAAATATTACATACTTACTACAAAAACTTCGTTCTGTGAGATAAGCACGTTTTGAAGTATTTTCTAGAATATGCGCAACCGCCGCGGTACGGACCAAGACCAAACGAATTTCCAGTTAAAGGGACATCTATTGCATGTTTAGGAATTAAGATGTCACTATCGGTTTCGCATGAAACGAGGTATTCCACATTTGGGACCGTATTCCACATTCGGCGACTTTACTCTAACTAAATGCGTGAACACTAATTTTGGACAGCTATCGGAAAACTGTTCCTGTATCACTTCTTCTTAATTTAATTGACAAAAAAACACTTCACTTCAAAACACCGGCTGACTGCCGGAAAATACGTATTTCAAAATTTACCTACACGCCAAGTACGCTAAGTCAAATGATCCGACCCCGCTTCCCCACATCGACGCGCAAACCATTTTAAGCCCCCCCCCCCCTCATTTTTCATCTTCGGTAAGGGGGTCGACGAAATGCGAACACATATTTAAAAAACGCATTGCACCTGTGCCATCGCTTATCTAAATAAATTAAATTTTACTTTGGATTATGAACTCCATACATTTTGAGTTGCTTGTAAATTGCGGTAAGCCGAGTGGAATAAGGAAATAAAGCGTTAAATTTTGTTTTTAAATCTAGATATTGTGACCTTTTGAAGTCATTTTCAGTGTCACTTATTTTTTTTTAATTTGTGATAAACCGCGCTTCACACGGTTTATCCACCTATCGCACCTGCATATAGTTGACTATGGGAAGTGCCTTTAATGCACTAGATTTCCCTAGAAATCTTCACATTTAATCGCTTTGATATCTAACTTAATATTTGATTTCATTGATAACTAGTGATGTATATTGTTACGAAGCTGTTTCAGCTAAGATAAGACTTTCAGCATTTTCTGGAATTATACTAGAAAGTAGGATAGAGGACTATCCTATCTAATCACACTATACCATTTTACAAATGACTATAATTATTTTATTGAAACTACTTTCCATTAATTCAAACTAAAGGTAACGTGATTATGTTAAAGGCAGTCCATCTTAAACTTCGAAATGGTAAAAACGTAAAACTTGTAACCTGCATGTAACCTGTGTGTGAAGGATATTACCTAATGAATGTGTACCAAATAAAACGTAACTTCAATCCGAACTTCATTCTTTCAATTATCTCGCCATAAGTCCTACACAAAAAATTCGCAGTGCAACTCAGTGGGGTTGCACAACAAAATTTGGTGGCAGCGGTATAGATTGGTGAAAATCCAGTCAAACTTGGCGTTCCGGGTAAATAGGAAATCCTATGTTTGGAATAGCTGAGCAAGAAACGGTATTTGCGGTGATTTGAATCCAGGATTATTCGAGTTTTTCAGACAAGGGCCCGTCGTTACCGAAAACTAGAAGAATCCAGACCCGAATTACCAACACCCAAAATTCCCAAGAAGAGGCAGTGTCAGCGTTAAAGTGTTTGTTAGTGAAATAAGTTTCTACAGTTTCGGGTGCATTGTGCTATTCGCTATTCTTTGGATTTTACACATTTTCATCAGATTAAAAGTAAGTCAGAAATTTATACGAACATTTTGTAACTTAATTATTACCTACTTAGTAGCTCGCTGTTTGAACGTTAATAATTTCATTTAAGCAGTATTTCGACACGAATCAGTATAGTTTAACAAATTTCGTAATCCGTAGAACAGCCAGCAATAAAGTACAAAAATGCCTGACAATAATGTAAGTGATGTTTCCAACTTAAATTTAGCAGAAGGTTCAAGTAGTGTAAATGCAGCAGGTAGGGATCAGTTTTTAAGTTTAGATGCAGCAGTAAAGTTATTAACAAATTTTAGTGGGGACAGCAAAGAAAGTGTTACGGAATGGATAGATAATTGTGAGATTATTTTAAACTCAGTTAGGCAAGTCGATTCCCATATGCTATTTCAAATTATTAAAACAAAAGTCTCAGGTAAAGCTAGGAATTTTATAAAATACAGAAATTTTCAAAATTGGGATTTTTTTAAGGAACATTTAGAAGAACTTTTTGCCGAAAAGAGAACTCTTTCGCATTGGCAGTTAGAGTTAAATTCAACTAAACAGTCAAAAGGTGAAAATTTAGATACATATTCAAACAAAATTGAAAAATGTTTAAGCAATTTGTTAGATGTGGCGACGGTAAATAAAACCCAAGAGGAAGCGGTAACTATCAGTGAATTATTGAGATTACAAGCCTTAAATGTGTTTGTCACAGGATTGCAAGAACCTTTGAAAATGCACGTAAAAAGTAGGGACCCCAAAACTTTAGAATCAGCTGTTGAATTAGCTAGAATTGAAGAAAGAGAACTTTTGAGTAATCGCGATTCACAAAATTATTTTGGTTATAAGGTAAATTCAAATCAACGTACAGTTCAAGGGAATTGTTTTGTTTGTAAGAAATCAGGTCATTCAGCTTCAAATTGTTTTTATAAAAACAATAGTGTTAAAACGAACGATTCACGTGTTCAAAATTTTGTTAGTGTGAAAAAACCTCAAGTGTTTTCAATGCAAAGCCAGCCCATATGTTTTTATTGTAAAAAACCAAATCACAGAATTGCAGACTGTAGGAAAAGAATATTTAATGAAAGGTTAAAAGCAACACAAAATGATAATCCTCATTCGATAAACAGGAACTCGGGAAACGAAAAAAACTCTTCAACGAGAGGTCAGTTGGAGAAGTGAGTTTTAGGAAAGACCTCAATCGCAATTTTGGAAAGCGCAAGGTTACTAACGTAGGCAGTGGAGTTCATAATTACAACAGGTATCGTGATAAACGGACAGAAAATATACAAACAATCGAATTAAAGGAATTTCAGAACAAGGTCGAGATTAACTTAGCTAGATGTAAATTAAAATATGTAGACATTCCCTTAAATTTTTGTAAGAAGAGGGTTAATCGATTAATGATAGATTCGGGAGCAGATATTACTTTAGTGAAATGTAGGGCAGTACGAGAAGATATAGTAATTGATAAAAATCGGTCTGTTGAAATAAAGGGTATCACAAATGAAACCACTATCAGAACCTTAGGAGTTGTCGATGAAAAATTTTGTTTATCCGACAGAGAAATTGTTGTTCCATTTCATATAGTTAGTGATGATTTTTCCGTAGAAGGAGACGGAATTTTAGGAAATAGCTTTTTACACGCACTACAAGCAAATTTAGATTACAGGAACAATGTTTTGGAATTTGGAGATAAAAGGTATAGATTAATAAATTTGGATGAAATCTTGATTCCTGCAAGAAGTGAAACTATTACTAGAGTTCGGACAATATCAGATGGAATAGGTGTTTGTAACGGTAAACAAGTTAGTGAAGAAATATATTTAGGAAACTGTTTAACTCAGGCAATAAACAATTCGTGTGTTGTTAGCATAATCAATATAATGGTAGCACGCAACTGAAGGTCGCACGGAGTTTGAGGTTACTCAAGTTTCTCGACGGAATCAAGTAGGCCGTGAAAAGTTGAGGTGACAGTCCTATCCTCAAAATTCTGGCTATTAGCTCCTTCACCCTTAATTTTGCGAAAAACCCTTAACAATTTAAACGTCAAACTGACGGACGAGTCCATTTCGAAAAAATCGAAGGGGAGTCCCAGGTCGCGGCGCTATTTTTACGAAAATTTGCGAAAATACAAGCAACGGACGGGAGAAATCGACGAAATTGTCTTTACGAAGCGTAAATATAAGCTTTACGATAAGTAAAAGTCATATGCGAAGTTGCTTCCCGCCGCCGGAAACGGCGATGCGCCGTCGAGATTCTATATTTGTCGCCGGAGGCGACGATGCGCCGAAGGCGCATCGTCGAGATATTATTCGCACGGCGATGCGCCGCAGGCGCATCGTCGAGATTCTATTTTGCGTCGGAGACGGCGATGCGCCTCGTCGAGATTTTACACTAATTTCTCACATTTTGGGGGTCTCTCATATAATTCCAAGTCTCGAGACTTTCTATGTAATTGGTAGCAGTTTGTGGAACTGTAGTAGTTCCACAGAGCTGTGAGTAGTTCTAATGTATAGTTTTTATAACCTTGCTTTCTTTTAATGTTTACATTAACTGGAGAGAGCTTAATCTTATTGTAAACCTTTTTGTTATTGTTAAATATAGTTTCAAAGCTACCTAGTTACAATCAAATGGCATCAGGTATACATTTCCAAACGGAAGAAATTATCTCTCGTGAAGTTTGTTTACGTTTCGCATCTGCAAAACGTAGGCCTGAATGAAATGAAAATACAACCCTATTTTTTATAGTACCATATCGTTCGTCGAAATTATACGTGAAGACAAGTTCTAAAGGTAATGCAGGTATAAAACACGTTTAGAACGTTTATTGTGATCTACTTTCAGGTACAGAGACCAGATATAGAGATCGTATTTGCGACATGTAATTTACAAGTACGTCCCCATTTTACCTTCGAAAGGGGGAAAGACATATAATCCAATCCATTGATGTTCATTAAACCGAAATGTTATGTAGTTTTAAGTATAGATACAAATGACATTAGGCTGGCCACATTAAAATCATTTCCATTGAAAGTTTATGTAGGTACCTACTCATATTAACGTGTCTTGAATTGTACTTACAATTTCAAAGAAAAATCCATTAACGTTTAGGAAGGAAACTTCAAAGTGTATAAAGATTGCGTTATTAATAAAAGTCTAATTCTTTTGATTGCTGCTGCAAAGATTTCCTAATGTGAAAGAGCACATTTTAAAGTGATATAATGGTTTAGACACTATGTAGTGATTTGTTGCTATAACATTAACGTGATTATTATTAAGATAGTAAGCCCTTTAATATAAAAACAAGAAGGATTTTATTAGTTAGATAAATACTGGCCACTAATGACAAAGTACACATGTCACATTTAATTAATCACTTGAGGGAAGTGGACTGCTACATTACACTAATGTTTAAAGGAACATTTTCTATAAAGTTGCACCTTCTAATTTAATCTGGAATTGTAAAGATATTTGAAGTACACAAAGTGTATGGTCGAAAGTATACAGCATTTAAGTAACAATAAACCTATACCAACTAATCTTACCTACAAAATTTTTTTACTGAAACACTTAAGTACATGCTGTAGCAAAAAATCATGAATCAATAGGGGACCTACTAGATTATTTCAATTTGAGATCATATAGATTCTGCGGTTTCTTGGTGTTTCATACCTACATAGTTTCTAGAGAAATTCATAAATCTAAATATAAATTTACTTCTATCTATTTTGTGCTAAATTGATGTGGATCATGAGAAAAATATTAAAAAATACATGTACACTTTGTACACATTATGCCTTGCATGCAGCAAGTCGTTTCACATTGTATGTGCATGTCGTCGCGGAGGGAGATTTATGGTTTGTACCATACCACCATTGCCTAGAGCAAACACACTGCAAAGGCAACAGTTGAATGCCTTCAATTATCGGTTGCACGCTCTAGGTAATAAAAAACCTACCAATATTCGCGTTGTGGAGGTGAATGCCATTTTTAATGCGTTTGGGGATTACCACCTTTTTGAAAGGTATGCGTATAATAATTATTTATTGCCCATTATTCAAATGTAGATACATTACTTTGTTTTATTTTAACACAAATTTAATATAATCGGTCTTACCATGTTGTAAATACAATTTTATTATAGAGATGGCATACACCCAAACGGCAGGGGAATAAGCCTTGTATACAATTTGATTAATGGAGATTTTTTTAGGTAAGATTTTTTTATTAAATTTTAATTACAAATGAAAAAATACTATGCGATCAAAAATGAGTTGCTGTCCAGTCATTTCTTGGAATTTTTATTTACATTTACAGTAGCAACTCATTTTTCATCGTTCGTTATTCTCATTTGTATATATGATTGTTATTATTATTACTACTATTATATTACTTTTTGTTTTTTTTCAGATGTTGAAATTGTGTAGCACCGCATCACAAAATATTTTGTATTAACTACTTTCTGGTACTTTCGGTATCTAATTTACTTTGTTTTTATATTAAACTATAGTTTTTGCTCGTGACTTCGTACTCGCTTAAACATTACCATCTGTCTTATGCATTTACGTTCACCTGGGAATTCCGAACAGTGTTTTAAAAATATACCTTAACGCCTTCAAAGAAACATACGTGCTAATTATCAAGTTTCTATCTTTCGTAGTTTCGGTTGTAAAAACCCGTTTTTTCTTGGTAGGTAGCATAGAAATTTCGGGAAATCCTTTGTTAGTGTTCTCTACAATCCCTAAGGAACCAGTAACCAAATTTCAAGTTTCTATGCCCAATAGTTTCAGTCACCTCTATGCCCAATAGTTTCAGTCACCTAACATTAGTATTATCCATTGAACTGGTTATATGTTGTTATCTCATTATGTTATCAGTGTTATCAAGAAGTTCGACTCTAAACATAAGAATTTCATATGGTATTTATTATGAACTATTCATATATAATCAAGATATGTGAGACATTCAGGTATGCCATTCAAGTTCAATTAAGTTTTATGGTTTCAACGTTAATATATAAATGTTGACTTCTTCTTTGTTTTACATGGTGTTGTGTTCGTTACTCATTTTATTTAATATCAAAATGAAATAGGTATTTAAAATTTGGTTTTACCAATTTTGGAAAAATCATAGAAATTTAAAATGTCAATTTATTGTCAAAAACTTCTGGTTTAAGCTTATGTTTGCTTGTACTACAGGGAAATGATGTAAAGTGTATTTATATTGGTCTTTTTTCTCTCCACATACTACTTATTAGTTTCATGATTCCCGCACTAATAGATAATTTCGGTCTGAATTCTTTTAGGCACTACGTGCGAAGTAGATAGTCAATTGTTAAAATTGACGTCCCGACATTCGGGTTTTATGGGAAAACGCGATCTAAACGAAGGAGATGCAAAAATCTTATTTTCAGTATTTAGCCCGGTCTGGTTTAAAAAGGTTGACCACTCATGATTTAAGCACTAGGTATTAAAAAATTTTTAAAAACTGAATTATTTTGCTGTTGATGAAACATCAGA